CCCCCCGCCCGTCCCCGTTCCCGGGCGGCCGGGACCCGCCGGCGCTGGCAGCGGCGTCGCTCTGAGAATCGCTCCTTCCCTCCCGGCAGCTGCACGGTCAATGCTACGATAATAGCGGAGATCCTGAAATACGGGTCACGGCTATGCTGGAGCTGGGATCCCCGCTGGAGATGATTCAGCTTCTGCAGACCCCCTGGGAGGAGAGATTTAAAGTAAGGAAACGAAACAAAGGGAGTTTCGCCGGTCGCTTTTAGACCGCAGACTGGGTAAACGCGAAGAGCCCGTGGTGGCTGCTGGGCCAAACGGGATTGTCGTGCTGGCTGACACCCTGTTTGCTCCCGCAAGTTGTCCTTAAATCGTTTTGCTTTCGCTCCTTTTAAAGCACGTTAAAATAGCCCCAGCCTGGCGTCTCACAGCTCTATTCCCTCTCTCTAGAGCGACGTTAAAAGAGCTGCATCTGGGAGGAAACGGACACAAAACCTTGCTCAGGGCTGGGCTGGTGTTTAATACCCAGTATTACACTATGCTGCCGGTTTTCCTTCTATATCCCTCCACTGCACCGAGGGGCTTTCGTAGCGAGGCCCCGCAGCAGGCTGGGACTGACTCCGGGAAGCCACCTCGCCGCGCTACGAGCCTCTCGTTTTCTGCGTATTACCTGTTCTAGGCAGCAAGCTGAGCAGCCTGTCTGTCACCACGTGTTTGTATGGTGTTTCTGATCTTAGCCCTTTAGGTATTACTGTAGTACAAACACTACTAAATTGCTTTCCTCCTGCTGTAGGTGCTAGAATCACATCCCTGTTAGTGAGATCTGCCTTGTCTCCTAAGCATCCCCCATAGGGACTCTTAAGCTCCCCAGGAACATAAATGACTTGCGACATGGCACTTATTTTGGTTATAGCTTGTATTACAGTTTGCCTGGAGGTCTCAGCTGGGGGTTCACTACTACTTGTTTGGTTCCCAGGAGGAAAGAGAGCATCAAGTAGAAGCATGGGTGCCTTAATGTCAATGAGAAATGCTTTGGGAAAAATAAAAACACAACAGCAGTCCCAAAATAAAATCCCTGCCTGCATGCGGTCCTTAATGTTAAAGAGGAGCCTTGCCATCCGAGCCAGAGGGGGAGTGTGGCAACTGTGCTTGCTCAGCTGTGGGACGTGAAGCTGGGATTCTTACGAGTGCTTCACTAATCAAGTTAAAATAGCATCAGAGCTTCCAGAGTCATTTCTCTTGGCCTGTGGAGTTCCACTTCTGCTTACAGACTATTTCATACTGGCTTCTACGTAGCTTTCCCAGCACCTCGTCTTCTCAAATGTGCCAAAGCCTCCTGTAGAGCTAGAAACCCATGATGCTGGATTAGCTGGTGTAAGGTCTGGTGTGGTGGCATTAAGGTTTTAATAATCTTTTGACAGATGAAGACACTAATTCAGAATTTACACTGGTACTGTCTGGTCCTGTTTCCTAATTAGGGCGTCTAAACGGATGGGATTCCCCTCTGATGAGCCACATCAGATACCAGCGATTCTGCGAGCTGTTCCAAGTGAACAAACCCTCGCGCCTGCACAGATCGCTATCGGAGGCAGCGAGGGGTGGTGCGGGTCTGCCTGGCACACCTAGCTGATGATACAGTTTGATGCCAGGGCTCCTGATAGTGAATGAAAGCTGCTGCAAAAAGCTACCTGAAAAAAAGTGCTGGCGCAGCATAAATGCGCTCTTCTAGCTCTAGTTTGTTCAAAAAATTGTTTACTGAGCTTTCTGCTGGATCAGGTATTGTCTGACCTTACCCTGCTGCCAGAAAGTTGACATAAAAGTAGAAAAGCTGGCAATAAACACATTGCATGCTTTGGCTAAGTCTTCAGAAGCACGATTGTGTGCCCAAATTCATACTGCTGAGTGATGCAGCAAGGCATGGATCTGGTATTAATGACCATGGAGCCTCAGTCCGTGTGGAGCAGCACGGGGGAAGGGAGGGGAATGTATTAATTCTATGCCAGAGTGGGAAAAAAACCCTTCTGATTTCAGCTAGCAAATCAATGTAGCTCCTGAAACATGAAGGCTGCTATTGTTTTCCTCACAGCTTTCTCATCTAGTTCCTCTAACTGCAAATGTCTCTTTTTGTATATGCACGTTGTAAAAAAAATGTTGCTAAACTACTTACCAGTCAAATCCTGTGGCAACGTTGATAATAAATTTTGTAGCGTACGTGTAATTACCTTTTAAGTACTATATGCTTTTTTTTTCTTTAATTTCATTGAATGCCCTCTCCTTTGTTCTACTTCCAATTTAATAGCTGTTTTTCATCTTTTTTTCCCATGCATATTCATCTTCTCTTTCTCAGATTTGCCTGAGTCTTGTGAAACTGCTGTTTTACTTGGCACATTCCCCTCTGGGTTCAATAGTCCTCTTGGATTTCCAGCCGAGGCAGTTTGTTATGGTGGATGGAAACCTAAAAGTGACAGACATGGATGATGCCAGCACTGAGGAACTGTCATGCAAGGAAGATAAAGACTGCACGCTCGAATTCCCTACAAAAAGCTTCCCTCTCAAATGCTCTGCGGCTGGGAAATGTGAAGGAATAAATGAAAAGAAGAATCTTTTCAATGCATATCGGTATGTCCAGTGAGACTGGGGGGAAAATCTGGGGTGGTTGAGCTCACACACTGCCACGTAGCCTCTAGCATCTTGCGTTTCTTCCATGCAGTGATTCCTCCTCACCTCTGTCAAAGGGTAGTTAAGGGTCGCTTTGAAGCAAGTTTATTTTCCTTCTAAGGCAGGAAAGTAGCGTATTTGTTGTCTGGTGAGAATGAAGGCATCTTTCTTCTGCTGCTCCCTTTCCCCAACGCCCTCTAGAAACTCTCCCCAAAGGTTGCACCTGTGAATTTATTGTTTGCCAAACAAGCCCTGGCACTTGACATCCATGCGCTGCGTTTGCTGAGAGCAGTGGCCGCACGGGCTACCTGCCAAAGCCCACCAGCTTTGAGCCCCCGTTGTTGGGAAGAGGCTGGCTAACTCTGCCCTTGAACTCTGAGTCTCCCTATGGAGACTATGGGCACCTATGGGAGAGCGATGAAACAGGTAACGGGCAAGGGGCCGAGACTGCTGCAGCACTTTGTGTAGGCCACCAGCTGAAAGCACGATGCTTAGCAGGTCACGTACAGGTGGAAGTCTTGGCAGCTGGCCGTTTACACAGAAGGACTTAGTAAGGGAGCCTGAATTTGCAGGACTCGGTGTGAAAGGGCAAATCCCCGCATAGATTATTGCAGCCTTGCAATAACGCACTTGTCTCTTGTAGAACAGGAATCTTCTAGAAGGTTCAGAGAATGAGTAGTCCTGCCTTCCCAGGGCTAATAAGAATGCCAAACTTTTTCAGGGCAAGGGAAAGGTCTTGCATGAGTCTTCTTTTATATAGGTCTTTTTTTGATGGGAAATGCATTGCTTAGAGCACAAAAATGGCCCTGGGGAATGAGGGAAAGCCTCACTGCATGAAGCCTTTGCAAGGTAGATTTCATGTAGCGCTTGGCAGCGTGCTGTACTGCAAGGACAAGGCTTTCAGCCCAACTCACAGGAGCAGTCTGTGAGATGCCAATGAAGTGCTCAAATGTAACTTAATAACCAAAGCAGACTTAGTAGTTCATATGGATAATCGAGTCACGGGAAAATGTGGACAACTTAAATCACTAGGGAAATTAAGCAACTGTATTCTAATCAGTCTGTGGGATTTTTTGCAGGTATTTTTTCACCTATCTTTTGCCACACTCTGCACCACCAGCTTTGCGGCCCTTTTTGGGCGATATTCTGAATGCAACAGGTACCAGCTAATAGTCATAAACTTCATTAGAAGTCTCTAAATGGTATTGCATGGAATTACTTACCTTTGTCATCTTTTTCTTTAAATGTAGGTGATTTACGATATGGAATAAATGAAACCCTGAAAGCTTTTGAAAAGGTTTTACATCTGTACAAGTCTGGGCTCTATCTGCAGAAAAGACCTCTTCTCTTAAAAGGTATGTGATTTTGAATGCTTTAAGTAACGTAGCTACTGAGGGAGCGAAGAACTTGGTAACTGGTCAAATTCTGATCTCCCATATGTTCAGGCAGTGTATAGTCACTAGGAAAAGCACCAGAAGTATCTTTTTTTGAGCAGCCTTTTGTTTTTTCATAGGAGCTATGCATGATTGCATTGTTTTGCAAAGTAAATGCAGTGCAGGCAATCTGGCCTACATATGGACATATGTTTGCACTGCTTCTAAATACTCTCCTGATAACGTGCATCAGTGTTTTCAGTGAATATATTTGGGATAGCTTAAGCAACTAGACCAGAGCAGCAAACTGAGTGTCTCCTATCTCTCTTCGGGGTCATCTTACCCTAGGGACCAATAGGTCAGTTTCCTGGGCTGATATTGAACCTTCCCATTTCACTTGGTGGCTTCTGACTGTTGAGCGCAGGTTATTATGGGAACGTACAGTGGGGAGGTGACAACACCGAAATGAGTGTGGCAGAGTAGCTGGGGCCTTGGTGCCCTCTAAATTTATTTTTCCTGAAGACCATCCTGTTGGACCTCTGGATGGATAAATGAGCCTTTATAAGGTGCATTCCTCTGAAAAGGACCCATTTGCTGGTAGAGATGAGGTTAATCAAAAGGCAGCTTCAAAAGTCCAGTGGTTACTGAAGCTTAACTTTTCCTGAGCGTCCACTCGAGATGGTGGGGTGGTGACGGTGGCTTGCGGAAGGAAATCTCTTTACGTGTGAAAGAACTAGAATTTGCACTGTTACAAAGATTTCCAGTCATTTGCACTGAAGGTCCAGCAGCTTTAATAGGAATTACTAGTATTTTCCAACAACACCTGCCTGTTGGCTTTGCAACTGGCCCAGCAGCAATGTGCCAAAATGATCACCATCCTAGAGGTGTGGGAAGGTGGCGAGAGACTCTTTGCAGTCAGTGAACAATACTCTGAACATCGCCTGCTCAGGCTTGTCAGGTCTCTTGTATCCCACTGGAGGAGGATCTGGCCTCCCTTTCCCCCACTGGGGTTCCTGAATCTCCTGTACCTGTGGGCGACACCATGATGGCTGGGTCAGCGCCTGCCACGCGTAGCTCAGTGCTGGATCTGTGATGAGCTCGTTCTGCTGTTGGGGCTGAGGTGTAGGAGAGGCCGTTGTGAGGTTGGCTTCTCTAGAGAAGAAGTGGAAGGTCTGTGGGACTGTACAGCAGTCTGTCCTTGTCACCCACCCCTGCGGTCGCTCTCCTGTCCCTTCACCCTTGAGAACTCTGCCCCCTCTCTTATATCCTTGGGGGAATTGCTGTCCAGTGCTCCATAACGGAACCAAAAGTCAGGATTTGGGTTTCTTATAACTTTGCAGCTCCACCCACTCCATCTAAGCAGGTCAGTTCAATCTATCACTATCGCATTTCCTTTAAGAGTTTCACTGAAGTGCAACATACTAAGTGTGTAGCGTAACTGGTCTCTGAAAGCACACTTAAAAAGTTTCCCTAAACACCCTCCTTCCGTTCCCAGACTACATCTCCCTAAAGGGCTTCCGAACGGTGGAAGGCGAAGACTACAAGTGCTGGCCCTCCTACAGCCACTTGGGATGCCTGCTCTCTGTGCACGGCGCCGAGGAAGCCGCCGCAATTTGTAACTCCCAATCGCAGTGTCAGAGTTTTATCGTCACGCAGCGGAGGACGTGGACAGGTGAGCTTGGGCAGCTGTGACAGGACACTGCCGTGTCGTGCCCCTGCTTCCTCGGGCGCGAGTGGGGACGATGCTGCTGCCCTCCTCCGTAGTGCCTTGAGTCTACGGGTGCGTGTAAAAGCTGCTTTCCTTAGTCAAGATCGGGTGGCTGCCATGGTGGGCATCCAAGGATCCCCTGAGTATTTGTAAAGAGACACAAGAGAAATTATATTCTCCTGTGCCTTCTTTCCTCTACAAATTTTGTAGTGGACTGCTAGGTATTGTTAAACAGCTACTTGTTTCATGCAGAGATGGCTTCACTTTGGCGTGAGGCTAAACAATTCCTGTGGTATATATAGCTTTCAAAAAGCTGTGGGGTTTTTAGAGATGAAAGAAGCTATGTAAAAGAAGGTGGTTACTATTGTTATAATTAAAAGAATCATGGCTTACAAGTTGTTATCCCCTTTATCAAAACTAAAGCCCCAAACCAATGGATTTCCAAAATGTCCCTATAATTAGCTCTGATTATAGCCTCTTACAGTTAGCATGTATTCAGAATTACTATAAATTACCTCATTTAGCTGACACTTCAATCGTGGGCTAAATTGTTCCTTATAAAGTGAAACACCAGATGAGGTAAATGAGTGTTTTCAGCAGTGGTGCTGAAGAATCACATCTTGTCGGCTCACATGACATTTAAAAAAACCAACCCAAAACCAAACTACCAAACACACAGCTTTTTCATGGATTTGTGTGCAATTGGCATGTGGCTAACTAGTGACATAAGAGTGCTTACACGGATGCAACATAAATCTCTTTGAGCCGGTTTCACACCAACAGTGGATTGTGTGAGTTGTGCCTAACGCATCACATCTGGCTTCCTTACGGGACGGCTGTTAGTTGCTGAGTTTCGTGCCTGGCTGGAAGGAACCCCGCTTAAAACAGCGGTGGGGATGCAGAAGAAGCACACAGGACAGAAGACCTTTTCTGCAACACCTAGCTCAGATGCTGATCCCTGCCATCCTGCACTGTGCCTGCAGTCTGTTAAGGTTTCCCTTCCTGACATTTTTCTTCCTCAGATTTTTACAGGTTGTCTTTGCAGCCAAAGTTGCCGAAAGTGTGTGGCTGAAATGCCGAGTGCCTAACTTTGCCAGCTGGATTAATGAGAGCTGTGTGAACGTGCTAGTCCCTTTTAGGGCAGCTCTGTATAGCAAAGCAAGACGTAAAAGCCTCTGGGGCTCGATTGTGCATTCCTTGTGCACACTCAGTATGCATCTGGAGTTTACTGGGAGTGTAAAACACTTCTATGACTGGGTGGAGTGACCCTCTGCTGAGCAAGCAGTGTATTCCTGTGTCTCTTGCAATAAATAGCATGGGTCAAGGTGAACTTATCTCCTCTATTAAACTTGAATTTTTATTTCCTTTCCAGGACGCCCCCTCGCCTCGTTTCAGAGTAGCCTGACTGATTTAATACCAGATGCTAACGCTGTAGTCTATATTAAACGATCGACTTCCTCAGGGGAAAGACTTTAAAGACAAAGAGATCACATAAAATGATCCTGGGAGGAAAAAACCACTGGGGAGAATTTCATCTGCTGAAAAGAATGGCATACTTCATTTTGCTTTGGGATGGGATCTTCCTGCCAGCTCAGATAGAGTCAAATGCTGCTGTCTCCTTGATCAAAGCTCAGATTTCTTACTGCAACCCTGCTAGCTTCTCTATCTGTTTCCACACTGCTGTTACGCATAAATGCTCCCAGTTTTAGTCAAATGGTGCTAGACTGTGCAATACCTAGCCTTGCTGCTTTGGTAAACTGCTTGTCAGCCAAGAAATAGAAATAGCTGCAAGGGATCCGGCTTGGGTAGGCTTAGTTCAGTCACCTCCAAAAACCTATGGATAACACACCTTGGAGAAGGCAATGGCTCCTTCTGCAGCTGCTGACCAGGATTTCATACCACTGCAAATGTAAAGGGCTGGATTTCAGCTATGGGGCCAAAGTTGCAGGACTGGGATCTGTAACCAGATGTTGATGATGGGGGTGGTCTTCCAAGGAGGGTCCTGATTCAGTTCCTTCAAGGGCAGGGGAGGGAGGTGGTGTATAGGTCAACTCTGGAACCAAATGTCTGCATGTTTGGATGCAGGATTTGGCTTTGACCCTATGTGATTTGTAATGTCAGCTCCCATGTATCAACCTTGAAGGTTTTTCTCTGTTACTTTCCATGAAAGAGCGAGACATTCAAATTATTTATGTGTAAGGCATGACTCTGTATGATAAAGAATGACTATGTTTATTCTAAGCATGCCGTGAAAACTTTTTCTCTTTAATTGTCTAAGTCTTTACTGCAACCAAATGAACAAATGGAAGTGTTTCCCACCTTCAGCTCACCTAGCATCATTACCTGCTCCTGAGGACAACCTGTGAGTGGTCCAAGCAGTGTATGAATGTGCCCGAGCCCCTTGGACCCTTAGGTCTTTGTTGTGGTTTAACCCCAGCCAGCAGCTAAGCACCACGCAGCTGCTCACTCACTCCCCCCACCCCCCCAGTGGGATGGGGGAGAGAATTAAAAAAATAAAAAAAGTAAAACTCATGGGCTGAGATAGCAGTTTAATAGGACAGAAAGGAAGAAAATAATAATAATGACAATAATAAAATGACAATAATAATAATAAAAAAGAATTAGAATATACAAAACAAGTGATGCACAATGCAATTGCTAACCACTTGCTGACCAATGCCCAGTTAGTCCCTGACCAGCAATCTGCCCCCCCACCCCAGCCAACTCCCCCCATTTTATATACTGGTCATGACATCATACAGTTTGGAATACCCCTTTGGCCAGTTTGGGTCAGCTGTCCTGGCTGTGTCCCCTCCCAACTTGTTGTGCCCCTCCAGCCTTCTTGCTGAAAGGAAGCTGAAAAATCCTTGACTTTAGACTAAACACTACTTAGCAACAACTGAAAACATCAGTGTGTTATCAACATTCTTCTCATACTGAACCCAAAACACAACACTGTACCAGCTACTAGAAAGAAAGTAACTCTATCCTAGCCGAAACCAGGACAGTTTCCTAGTGCAGGATCGCACCTTTCAGCTCGTTAGTACTCTGTTAATCCACAGCAATGCCATTGCATGGGGGCTTTCTCATGCAGTATAACCCCTGCTGCTTACACTGAGGCTCGGGGACTCTGATAGTGATACCAATTAATGAGAATTCCTAGTTAGCACAACAAGAAGGCTCTTCTTAGTGATGGCCACACTGCTGCAGGCTTTGTGAAGGCAAGGCTTTTTAAATGGACAGCCACAGACGGCTCTCTCCTTTACAGTGGGTCCTGTGTAGGGGTCCGCTATTGTTTTACATCAACCCCACTGAGCAGGGCTTCAGGCATCTGCTGTGTGGTGCTTTACATTAGCAAGAGGTAATGAGAGTTTATTCCGTATCTCTCAGCCTCCTGAGATACAAACCAGAAGTACATTCCCCAAAGCAAGGGCAAGGGCCAGCCTGGGGTCATTCCAGAGAGGAAGAAACGGAATGCAAACATTGAAGTGATTCCAGTTTGTGTTAGAAAGATCTTCCCATCTTAAAAATCTCTCCTGGTAAAAAAACATTGTGTATTTTAGTCATGTGATGCTCCTTTCACATTGCAGGTTTTTCCATCAAGTTTTTATTGTATGATTGCCTGCCAGGCAGGCAGGTCCAGCCCCTCGGCAGATGGTGCAGGGTATGGCAGTGTTGCTTGTGTAGATGTAGGTTCCAGCATCAAACCTGCAGTTAGAGCCTGGGAGCAGAGACCATATCATCGTGCCTTGAAAGTTTTGAGCAGATGGTGCTTAACTAATAATAAAAATAATAATACAATAAAAAGGGAAGCCAGGCTTCAAAGAATCCCAGTGCTCAATCTGCTGTTGCCACAGCAAGTGGCTTTTGTAGGACATTTAGACCACCCCCTGCAAACGAGCAGGTACATTCTTAGAGCCTGAACCCCCGTGAGCACATTCATCAAGCTGGCACAGACAAATAGCTAGGGCATAGGCATACATTTATGTCCAATCCTGTTCATGTGCTAGAGACTTAGAAGACGCCACAAATATGCTGGTAAACGTGTATGCACTGATTCTCCTCATACCTCTGTGCAGCTCCCCATGGCACATAACACCTGGTGGGCACGCTGGCTTCAGTCTGATTTGGGGTGACAGCCCACTGCAGCACAATGGTGCCTAGCAAATGCTGGGTGAGGGAAAATGTTTTATCAGCCTGCTGCATCTCGAGTTATAGTCTGACATGTGTCTGAGGAAACACAGTCACTGGAAAAAGTGGTTCCCACCCTGCTTTTTCCCAGCTTCTTGCTGTTATCGTCTGCTAAGAAACCTTTTCCAGTGGCCATGCCACTTTAAAAGCATGTAGAATTAATTGTCTACTAGCCTAGAGTGAGCAGCTTGTGACTCCTAAGCTTCAGGCAGCTCGTGAGTGGCTCAGGTGCAGCTTCTGTGCCGGGTCTGTGTTGAGCACCCAGGCTGCTCACAGCCTGAAGGGGAGGCTACGGGAGCAAGCATCTTCTCCACAGCTTTTGGGCCTGTGTGGCTGTTTTGTAGTGCACTATCTTCATGTCCCATCTTCATGTCTTTATTCATTCTATCCTTTTATTAAATTATAACTGGCTCAAGCAACTTTAGACTTTCAATGCCAGTGAAAATCTCAGTGCACGCCTAAAAACTGTATTTCAGTAACTACGGTACGTACAAAACTTGAATATAAACATTTGCTGCCCTTAAAACTCCCAGTTGCTGGAGTCAATTTGTCTTTGCTATCGCTGATCAGTATTTCAGCCACCATTGTGGAATATGTAACAGAGGAAAGTGCTTGGAAGGAAACAGCAGGGGATCATTTGCAATGGAAACCATGTGTGCTGGAGGAATAATATTTACCTAAATGTGTCTATCACATCTTCCCAAAGGATGCTGCCATTAGGAGAGAATGGATATGAAATTGTTGCCTCCATAGATAAAAGTTAGGAATAGCATTTTTTTAAACACAAACTTTAATATTCTTAATTAATTCCATATTGTAGTAACAGAGATAAAGCCACATCCATGAAGGATAATACCATGTACTCCAAAGATATAAACCACAGTTTAATAAATAGCAACAGATGCCGCATGACTCATGTTCAGTATGTTTGCGCAGGCATTTACATGACTGGTGACTTCATGGCCGATTGAGGAGCAGAGTGAGAGGGACAGAGCCCAGTAAAGAAAAAGCAACTCCTGGTGCATCAGACAAGGTTCAAATCACAATGAAAGTCACTCCTGTATTCTTACATGACATATTCTACAAACTTCAGTGATGCTCTAAGCAGCACTCAGATAGATAGATGAACTTTCAGATTAGTTTGGGGAAAAAGCAGGAATTTATTACAGGCAGCTCTAGGCCCAAATCACACATCTGGGTTAACATTAATTTCTGTAAGTTCTCCTATAAATTCATGTACCAAGCACTGATCTTCGTGGCTAGCAGTCAGAGCACTTTGGTCCTACTGGGCTGAAAAAGCTGGTTTGGGTTCCAGTTTGAGGAATTAGTGAAGTATAACTCCAGTATCCAGAATAGCCCATCACGATGGCTTGGTAGGACTTCAGAGTGAATCTTCCTCCCTAACTACAGCACTTGCAGCCATCTTTCTCCTTGGTTCCATTGTCCCAGTGTACCAAAGTGCCACCAACAGCAGTGGGGAGATGGTGGTGGTGAAGGAAACTTCACAGAAGAGACTTTTATATGAGAGGTAACCACGAGCCCCTCTGCCTCCTCCGTAGCATGTGCTGAGTCCAGGATGGTGGTTTTGCCCTGAATGATAGTTCTTGGCTAACGGGAAAATGTATCAGATTACATCAAACAGGTCTGGGTGCACCAAGGAGGGGTGATAGCTGGAGGGAATTGCTGCCAGACACCTCTGCTGGAAATTCAGCTCCTGGCTCTCTGTGAGAGAGAGCTCCAGGCAAGGGCTTGTGCTTTGGAGCCTTTGGACCCTCAGCCCTCCTGGCTGGCCAACCCGGACGGCAAAAGCACTGGGTTTACTGGTAGGGGACACTTCTTGCCGTAGCTTTGGAGGAGATGGAGATGCCAATGGCTTTTTAAGAAATGTATGCTTGGCCTTTCTGGGCACCAAGTTACGTCCCTGCACTGTACCCGCTACAACTGCCTTAACCTTACCCACTCCCAAGTACCATAACCGCTATTCTTCCCCACCCCCAAATCTATAGCTGATGGCTGCACACTCAGGTCTCTCCCTCCTGTCATTTACTCACCCCCCCCTCGCCATGTGCCAGTCCAGCCCACCTACTCATTAACCCCTTGTAGACCCACACCCTCAATATTCACTCACAGCCCCACAGCCTCTTACCCTCGTAGCCAACACATAGGTGGTGGTACGGCTGGGGAGCCCTTATTTCGATACTGTCAGAGGCGAAATAGTCCTGCATGTAGCAGGAGGCCACATCTGAAAGGTGTAACCACAAGATCAGCCTGCCTTTGATTTGTAA